ACCATATGTCACAGTCAACATACAAAATGCGTCAGCTCACTTAATTTTGTTTTTCACCCAAAATTTGATACAGATTCTATGATCCATTTTTTTAGAAAAATCGAAGACGAATCAAAACACGTGCAAACAAAGCAGCTGTCAAAAGTTAACGGAATGTTCAACATGGTTGAACTTGTTGGTATAAGTGAGAGATATGAGTACCAACATAACGCCACAAAAAAAAATATTTTTCGAATATACGTAACCCGCGGAAATTCAAAATTCGCGATACTTTTTGAACAAAACTCGTAAACAGGGAGAATACACCGCCGTTGTATTTAGATATGTGATTTCCAAAAGTGAAGGCCGTTTCATTAATAAAAATCCGAGATGTTTATTTTTGTAGACAGCAGTTATTCCAGCAGTTCCGAGAAAGCCACAATGGTATTATTTATTAGATGTCAAAGGACAACTGCATACCGTTAAAACAAATTGCTAATTCTAACTTATCCACACAAAAAAACTAATTGCAATGGTGATGCATTTAAATGATTTTTTAATTCAAAGAGATCGAGATCGTAGGTATTAGATAGTGTAAAAAACCAATGACGGATAAACGCTAATCGTAGAAGAGACATGCATTGACCATTTATTTGGAAATCGTGTATTGTTTACTAGAATAATAATTAAAAAGACTAATTAAATTACAAATTGTCAACTGCAAGAAATATAAAAAAATTATTAGAAGCGTCATGCGCATTACATGATATTTCGTTAAATAATCAAGTGCTACTTGATTTCGCATGTATTGCGAAATTTTGGTAAGCATGATTAGAAATTACATTTCTCAAGTAAATAATCGACAGCAATAAAAGTTCGATAGTTAATTATTGTAGCAGCCAATATCACACTTAACTAGTAATAAATTAATTTTAAATTATGAAAACAAAAGCTACATTGTCTGGTGGCTAATGGTTAACTGCTAGTGCAAAAGTGTCAAGGTAAAAGATGAGTAAAAAGTCAAGTAAATGAGTAAATTGCAAGTAGAAACTCCAAAGTGCAAGGATAATATAAAAAATTAAGTAGAAACTGTCTTTGTTCGGGCAAGTTTTCTATTAAATCGATCCTCATGAACCAACGTCTCAAACCAATCGCGAAATTCCTTTCAAAATTAATTAAAAAAATAATAAACCAATCAATAATGCTTCTTTGTAACATAATTCTTTGTTTAAAGGAATAATTTCAAGTATTTGTAAAATTATTTATAACTTATAAGTAATATACTACATAATTTGCAAGTTCCTACGTAAACCCCTTTTTTCCATTAAGGTATGGTAATAAAATGCATTCGCATTTATACTAAAATTTTGATGGGTCCCCAATATTTGAATATCAAAATATCCAATCACGTATTATATCAAATGAATTAAGTCGAGAAAAAAATTAAAAAAGACATTTATTTGAATTAGAGATCGGAATTTCCATGTTCATGTTTAAATATTTGTTTAAAATTTGATTTGAATATTTAAACTGTTTAATATTTGAATATCCAAATATTCAATCAGCTATCATAGTGATTTAACCATTTAATATTAAAAGAATTGCAGTCTAGGAATTAGGTACCTACATACAAACATTTAATCCCAAGTGTACTAGCTACAAGACATTAACTTTACATTTAAACAGGTGTTTTAGTATCCAGATATTTACATATCTGTGTATTTAAAGTTTTGAATAATGAAATATTTGAATATTTAAACGTCTCAATTTTTTAATTTGAAATATTTCTTCAGAGTACGTCTTGAATTATGGATATTCAAATATTTGAATATTCAAGTAATTCAATTGCAATTCTGTGTTCTAGTGTCTAGTCTAAACTGAATATAAAAATATCAAAACTTATATTATATTATACTATATTATATTATATTATA